TCCGGGCAGGGCTCGCGCACGGGCACTGGCAGATGCTCCCCCCATTCCTCAGCTTTATGGAGCTCTGGACACGGGCCAGCTCGGCCTGCCTGAATTATGAGCCTGTCTACAGCCAGTCGATCCCGGGATGCACAGCCCCAACTTGCGAGCAATACATAAATTTTGTCTCCCGCTCCAACCTACGGACACCAGAGATCTGTAAGCGAGTCTTCGACAGCCACACCGGACGAATGATGGGCGAGATTAGCGTGAAAGTCTCTAAGACCAAATACATATGCAACGAAAAACAACTGTACTTCTCGTGGCCTACAGAAACATTTAGCACATTAGAAGAAAACTGCGAAGGCGAACACGGCTGCAATCGAGACGTATGCACCCGATTAAACGGCACGGAAATCTTCATGGATACCGAAGTTGGTCCAATTCCAGGGGAACTAAACTGCTACGAGGGATATAAACCTATTTCCAAAAATTGCGAAAATAAGGCAACTTGCCTGATAACTCAAGCGCACGCTGTACCGTTAGGGAGAGACCCCTTGGAAATAATCAGCTGCCCTAATTGGACGTTAAATAACATAATAGAAGTAACAATATCATCGGGAGGACGCCAGAACCGAATGCTCATTGAATCCGACGATCAACACCCCAACCAACGCTTGAACTTCCAACTTACAGTGCTAGGAAAGATCCCGCCACACACTCCGTTACAAAATTCCAAATACCTCCGCCAGGGACAACAAGTCTATGTATTATTCAAAGAAAGCTTTAACAAGCTCGGAATTAGATGCCCAACCAACAAATACGGTAACTGGACCACCTGCACGTTCCTTAATACCTGCTCTGACCCTTCGGGCCTATTCTGCGAAGATTCTGACCTCCAGAGCTCACTAGGACTTCATATGCTCCCACTCAATCTACCCAACGGAGGACGATTGACACAGAATCCCACACAGATGATCGAAATCTCTACGAAAATCCCCATTAATATGGAAATTCAAGTTATTTCCTTATCGGACGTGTTCGAAATTAATCCAACTGACGAGCAGACCCCCAAACGACTAGATCAAACACAGGAGGAAGATGAGCAGGACAGCTGTTCGGCAACCGTACACCTATCCAAATCAACCGAACTCGCAAATAACAGCATACTGTCCATAAAATGCAGGGGTCAAAATAAGGAGAAAACCGCGCTGGCGGAGTGTGGCGACAATTTCTTAATTATTCCCTGCAGCCAAGCAAATGAAGCTTCGACGTTCTCTGTCCCTCAGAACACCCTTCTTACAGGAAATTGCAAGATTACCTGCGGAGACCACGAGCTGAACCTCACGCTTCCAATTCCTGCTGAAACTACAAAGTCCGCGACCCCTAATCCATGCTCAGAACCCACAACAACCTCAAATTTTATTACAAAAACAACAACAACCCCTCAAAAGACTACAAAAATCGGACCGACCGTCACGAAACCGACACCACTCAGGTCAGAAAGGCAGCGAGAAAACAGCAGATCGGATCCATTGGAAGCCACCACCCGAAAAAGCTACACGAAAATCTATATAAAGCCAAGAACACTCGGCGGCAAAAGCGTTTCAGAAGACATGGGAGAAATGACCGCCGGAATGCCTCTTTTGGTCGCACAGGAGACCGGAGTCAAGATAGTCGATTCACTTTTATACCAAAGACGAGAAGATCCGCGTGACACAACGACGCACGAGGCCGTTGAGAATAAGGACATAAATTCGACCCTCCAACAGACGAAAACCACAGCACGCCCTAAAAGCCTCTCTAAATCTCAGAGGACATCCATTTTTTCCAACATTTTCGACTTTACTAGCATCCAGGAGACAGCAGAAAACATCAAAAACACGACGATATCAGTCGCCTACGCTATCCTCAGTATCTTGGGAATTCTGGCTCTCCTCACCATTTTTTATTTTATTTGGCCTCTTCTCGTCTTCATCGCTCGGATTCTCAGCCCCATAGTAAACGCGACAGGGCTCGCGCTCCAGGGCTTACTCAAACTCTGCCAGACGCGCAGCAACCGGGCCCCCAAGGATCCTGATCACTCGAACAGCCGCACGGAGGCCCAATGAAAATACACTGACAAGCCCCGCCCATCAGCTACAGGATATCGAGAATTGGAGATCATTCTCAACCCAACCAGCCGCTCGAACGTGATCTGAACCGATCCGTACGAGCCCCAGCCATCCGAGCACCAACCGCCACCTCAGCATCAACACCCACCTCGCTTTCAACAACACCGGCCGCGACTAAATTCCATCTTTGCGCCTATTCTTCCCCGAACTAAATCGGAAACTCCATCTATCCATCATCAAAATGTCGTCGCCCTATGACCGCCACTTCCCGCCTCTCACCAAGGCGCTGGAGTTGCCCGAGTTCGACTTCGAAAAAGGGGACTTGCCCTTAACAGCTGCGGAGCTAGATAGAATTTTGGCAACGACCCCAATTGATGATCCTTCCAAATTAGATGGGACGTCCCACGAACGCCTGGAGGCTTTCAAGAACCTCACGACCAAGATGGATAAATTGGAACTAGAATCCCAGGTAGGCCAAGCATGAGATAATCCTTTCTTACTTCTTTAATCAAATCATCCCTTTAACAAAAATCAAATCCTGACCTCGCTTCCCGATAACTAAAAACTAAAAAGCGGTCCCCCAACTACAATCTACTAAAACTCCGGCATGATTCCGGACACAACCTCTAAACGCTGAATAACAGCTTCTATTATTGCTCAGCCGCCAGCGGCTATTAAAAGGTCATTTAAAACCTGGCATCCCTCCAGGAACCCAACTAAAACCTCTCACCTGACCCCACTTACAGCAACCCGTCGACGATCAGTCGACGTTTGGCCCTTGGATTACCGTACAGCGGACCGGAACCAAACGGAAGGCCGCTCCGGGACCAGCCATTTGGGGCTATCAGAACGAAGCCAACCTTTCCCCTAGCGCTTCTCCTACCCAACCCGCCCCATCTCGCTATATTCCCCCTCCACCCGGTTTCTCGCCTATCACACCCCCTCCCGGTTTTCCCTCCCTTGATAAACGCGCCACTTCTCCTCACCTAGGGCCCCGTCAATCAACCTACGCACCATGTGGACTACCGCCAGTAGGCCCCCATCCGATCTTCCACAGAGCCGAGCACCAAAAAAGAACCATCTCCCCGAACATGGAGCCCCGCCAAAAAAGGGTGCGCACGTCGGGAGAAATCTTTATTTGGTGCAAGCTCTGCGGAAGACCTCACCATTTGGACATTCAGTGTCGCCATGTGCGAAAACACGAGTTGGCCACTCTACTGCGGCTCCAAAACCGCTGCAGTAGGTGCACGCATAGTCATCTCCGGGAGTTGGCTTGCGTGTACAAGGCACCGTGCGCACATTGCGGCAGCTGGACGCACCACACCTTGATGTGCGAGCAGCACTAAACCCCCCCCCCCGTCCCCGCAGATTCTGATTTCAGTATCTCCACTTCATTGTCATTTTCCCTAAGGATACCATGCCCCTTCCAATACCGGACCCCACAACCCCCACCTGCCCAACCCACAAATGCAAATTGACGATTTCCCGTTATGCCTCCCTTTGATCCTGAAGCATCCTTTCCATGCGTTGTTCACCCCCCCCTTCGCATCTCACCACCACCAACAAATATCATGCACGATTATTGTAAATTTGATCTCACTCCCCGTGCAAATCTCAAACAGCCCGCCTGGGCGCAATTTTCGCATTGTGATTTCATGAATGTTTAGCTCGATTAGCGGGCGCAATTGTCGTCTTGTTATGCCCTAATCGCCTCAAGCCCGCCTTTCGGGCGCCTTTCCGCCTTGTGAATCTTCACGCGGCCCGCTTATCGGGCCCACTCTAATTTTTCGGGCCGGGAGTGTCGGATCCTACCGACCCTTCGGGAAAGGGAGTCCCAAAATCTAGGGCATGGGCGGGCCCTCAGGCTTGCATAGCCCCTCGGGGCCGATCCGCAAAGGCCCACGGGGAGTTTCGAAAGTCCCTGCGGGGAATTCCGAAATTCCCCGCCGGGAATATCGGAAATCGGGGGCTGACTGGGCGGAGCCCAGCAGCCCCTATATAAGCCTGGGGCCCTCGCATACCACACACACACTCAAATAACCCTTGCTGAATTGCTGTCGCCCTGCTCAAGGCTACAGTAATCCAGCAAAGGAGAGTGTGGGCTTCCGAGCCAGCGATTTCACCGATCATCTCCCTTCTCCGAGACCGGCCCTTACCGTTCCTCCTATTTAAAGGTGGAATAAAGGCCTTACTCTCAAACCGTGTCGCCCACAACTGACACATTAAAGACGCAACTCGCATTTGGGCGCCACAAAGCCCAAGCCCAGGCCTAAGCCTAAGTCTAACAAGGGAAGGGCACGTGGACGAAGTGGAATTTCGCAAAACCCTCGCGGCTACCCCCGGGTAATCGACTATGGAGAACACGATGCCGTTTTCCGATTTTCCTGCGGAGGCCTGTGGACAGAGATACAGCACTTCCGGAAAATGACGATTTGCATGCGAAAAATTAGAATCCCGCGAAGCTTTATTAGGCTCGCCCATCAGTATGGAATCACCGGTCGAATGGTCGATTGGTAAGCAACTCGCTTGATAGGATACTGACGAGGGTACGGATCCTCTCACGATTTTTTCGTTTTGCTTTTTGACAGGAACTTTTTGCACAGGTCCATAATTTCCTTGACTTCGACAAAATTTTTTAGAGTGATGAATATCATAGATTTAGCTATCCCACCAAAAAAATTAAAAATTAAAAAATATTCGCGAGAATGGGCAGCCATCCTCCATCAAGCGAAAGTTTCCTAAAGTTTGTGAAAGTATTTTAGATTTGGGACTCTGCAATAACGTACGTATTAATTAAAAATTTATAGCTACCGCGGCAAAACCAACAATGAAACCTTGTTTGCAAACCACTGGTCTGCTGCGTGCTTGTAAGCCCAAGCCTAAGGCTAAACCTAATCGGCTGCTTACCTCGGCTTCTTCATCGGGGCTACCTGCTCCCACTTTGGCTGTCGCTGGTTGGGGTTCATGCGTTCGACGTGTTTAATTGCTTCTCCGCAACACCATCCTCCAACTGAAAATTCTTCATCATAATTACTCGATATTTTACTTCTTTGAATCGTAATTATGAAAAAGCCGCTTTCGCATTATCGGGGGGAGGAATTATTTTCCTCTTTATTTCCGGGTACACCTCGTACCCCCTCACTTACGAAACGCGCCCTTATCACAAATCATTGTTATTGGGCCGTTGACCCGTCAGCACCGTTAGGCAATGTCGAGGCGCAGGAATTTATGATGTATGCGTTTTGATACGCTACGTTACACACCCGAGTACAGCACTTCGCCGCAGTAGGCGGCGCGTCGTAGCCGCGTCCGCGGGCCCTGCATGTGGGCCCGTTCGAGGGGGAGGAGCAAGTAGTTCTGAAATTAGCGTTTTTACTACTAGATTTTATCCACAAAATTTAGAAAATTAATTTAGTACCTTGGCTTCATCGACCAGATCTCGAGCCGCAGGGTCGGCTTTCACCAGCGGATCCTCCGAGACGACAGACACCAAAAATTTGGGATCGCACAACGGCAGGCGGATGTACTCGAGCACCTGGAAATTTAATGTTATTAAAATAAAGTATTGTTTTTAAGTGATTTTACGTTAACGGGATTATGCTTCGGCATAGGCTCTACTTTACGATTCGTTAACATAAAGCTTCAAAAATTACAATAAAAGCGAAAAAATTAAATTTTGTGAATTTTCTAAATGAATTTTTCTGAGATATAGGAACTGTTTTCACTAATCCTAGGTTTAAACCCAATATTTTTGTTATTAAAACTGCAAAAATACCGATTTTTCGACCAAAACGGCCGATATTCGATCGAAATTTAAAAATGTAAACTTTTCTGAGTGTTCTAAGCCGTTTTTAGCTTCAAATAAAGCAACTGTTGGTCCAAACAAAGACCTAAGCGTAAGCCTACGCCTAAGCCTACGCCTAAGCCGACGCCAAACCTAAGCTTAAGCCAAAGCCGAAGCCAAGCTTAAGCCTATGCTTAAGCCTAAGCTAAGCCAAGCCTGCCGCCTATACCTAAATAATATTTTTTAAGTTAAATCCCCTGACTAACAATTCGTGCCAGGCGTGATTCAGCCGTGTTTTGGGTCGGCCCCACCCCGGGGCTGAATGTACCCGATTGTTTTCAGTGCCTGGAGCCCGGGGTCTCAACATTTGTTGTCTCCGGGCCACGCCCCCAGTTTTGGTAAATAATGTTGCCCGACTTGGGCAAACTCATTCAGCGGCTTCATCGAGGCTTTTTCTTAGCTTTCAATTTTTCTAACAAAAATTTCATTTTCATTCAAAAATACATAAAAATAGAAATATAATATATTGTCAAAAATGCCAATTTTTCCACCCAAAGTTCAGCTAAAAATTTCATTTAATTTCTTTTCTAGGTTTCGTTGAGTTTTTCCCACTTCAAATAGACTTAAATTGGCTAAAAACAGTATTAAGACCTTTACCAGGCATTTCTGGATTTATAGGGGAAAATTTGGTCACCCCGATAATGCCAAAGAGCCTAAAATTTAGTCATAAACTTTACAGAAGTTTAACTTAATCGATTTTAAATTTATATTGATCGTTTATTATTAGTATTATTGAAGTTTTATTATTCTACATTATTATTTATTAGTGAAGTTTATATCATTTCTTTAGTTTTTAAGAAGTTTATAAACTTTATAGAAGCCCCAAATGACTTCCGACTACCTGAGCGAGCTCGAATACCAGCAATGGCTCGTCACCGGCCGGTCGGTAACCCCCCAAAAAAATCACCAAATCCGGGCTCTAAAAGCGCACAAAAAAAACATCATATTTGCGCGTTGCCCAGACACTGCCCTATCACAATCGCGTAGTTTATCACACAGCTGAACACCACGGCAATGCCGTCAGAGTTAAAAGTAGCCAAAAAGGGCCAGACTCAAAAGCGACAGTTTCGAGAAATTTGTAATTTTTGTGGGAATTTAGATTCTCGGCGCTGGATGTGGAAAATGAGCCGGACCCGGATCAGAATTTCGAATTCGGGGAGGATTGGGGACAATTGTTGGCTAGTGGTAAGGTTTTAGCTCTCTCTCTCTCTCTCTCTCTCTCTCTCTCTCTCTCTCTCTCTCTCTCTCTCTCTCTCTCTCTCTCTCTCTTTCTCTCTCTCTCTTTCTCTCTCTCTTTCTCTCTTTCTCTCTCTCTCTTTCTCTATTTATCGCTCGCTATCCCTATCTCTCTCTCGCTCTCACTCTCCCTCTCTCTCTCATGCTCTCTCTCTATTTATCTCCCGTTATCCCTATCTCTCTCTCCTCCCCCTTTAGCCGCGCTTACAGAATCCCCTCAAACAGACGGCGAACTTCTCGATGAATTCCTTGTCTCGGCCATGGCCGGTCTTTCCACCCGTCAACCCGGGTAAGTCGTAACTCGTAAAGCTCCGGAAATTCCGGCCAGCCATGACGCATCCAGGCTTGACGCAGCCCGACAAAAAATTCCTCGTAAAGTTAACCGGAAAGCTAACCACCAAAATGCCGACATCCAAACGCCCGATAGTCAAAATGCCGACAGGACAAAATGCAGACAACCAAAACGCCGACAACCGAAATCTCGACAGGCCAAAATTAATGAATATTAGATTTGGCTGTCGGCATTTTGGATTGTCGGGATTATGACCGGACTTCAGTTAGCCCCTTTTAGCCACACCCTGCTAGTCCATATGGGAGTGGGGAGCACGAGCTTCGCTAAGGTTGAGCAGGTTTTCGCGCAAGAGGGAGAGGTGATTTAAACTTTACAAAAATTACGGTATATCTGATATTTTACTCAATTTTTTGAGAATCAAAATATCCCCCCAGATCCAAGCAATCAACCGCCAGCCATCCTATGCGCAACGTGGCTACGTGGCTGTTAGCTTTGCCGAGGAGCGGGATGCTATTCGGGTGGGAATTCGGGGTCTTAAAAGCTATAAAGTTTTCTAAAGGTGCTTGAGGAATATAACAGACCGGATCATAAAGTTCCGGCACACTCCAATCGACACATCAAATGTCATTTCTATGAGGGCGAGGAAATTGCGGAGGTTGGGAGATTTTGGAAATAAATAAAATGTAACTTTTCTCACCTTTGTCCGAGTTTTCTAATAGATAAAATAAGACAATTTACATTTGTAAAGGGAGGAGAGAGAGCGAGAGCGAGAGAGAGACGAGAGAGAGAGCTGGAGAAAAAATAAGCGCTTTTCATTGTTTTCATTGTTTCTAAATGTCCAAGATTCCACATTTAGAATGAAAAATACCACAAAAATTTATTTTTTTAACGTAAAAAATGGCGCTTCGAATAAAATTTCAAGCTGTTAACCGTTTTCTTTGTCATCTAAACTGTTTTTCTACTTTAATATAGATCAATTTTAGCAAAAACGCGATTTAAATGCTTACTATTACGCTATTAAGCATAATTAAACTTATAGCAAAAATTAAGGAAATGTTTAAACTTTAGATTACGCCACGATTGCCCATTGACGAGACCGAAACAGTAACTAATCTCATCGAAGAGCGTCAACTGTCAAAAACTATTCCTGCACCCCTCCATTACCGGAATAATCCGAGTAATGGCCACGCGAAGGGGCTTGCCACCAAGATAGCAATGACTCTCCAGTTGTTCCCATACCGGTGGATCATCGGGACAGCGGAGGTCTGAGGAATATATATACGCCGAGTGATTTCCCACAGACCACGAATAAGATCCAGTGTATTTACCAATGGAAGGACAGATAGAGATAAAGATTTATGTACATTAGTATATGACATAAATAAATGAACAGGTGAGTAAAAGGCTGGCCTAAAGGGCCAGTAGAAAGAGTCTGGAAGGGAAGGGGAATGGGGTAGACTGATAGGGGGAAAACGCCTGTCTGACTCTAGCTTTAGCCGCACCAGTTCCACAGGGGTAGAACTGGACGGTAAGCAGAGCGCGTGGAACAAGACTCAGAGATACTCGTTCACACGCCGACACCCGTGGGACTCACGGAATCGCCATACGGGGTGGCATAAAAGCCAACACACGCGTAGGGCGATAAATCCGAGAGCCCCCAGAGGGGGCGGTGCCTACGATAGCGCGCGGCCCTGCGGGACCCAGCGCGGTCCACGGGATAGCAAGGAACCTCGGAAGTCACGTGGAAACGGAGTAAATACTCCGATTCCAACGGAACTTTCGACACTCCCGCCCGGCTTGGGGGCCGAGGGAAGTGCTGGCGCTTCACCGTTGGATCCGATCTGGGGGCAGGAGCCTCGCGGCCTCGAAGTGGGGGTCTGGGAGGGGATGACGAAGAACTGACTAGGTCTGGATAGGTTTGGGACTCCACAAGGGAGTAGACAGGTCTGCTTAGGTAAAACGGGGGACTCTCTGTCGGTAAGGGAAATGAGCCCGACTGGAGAGTTAGGGGAACCGGAGGGGGGCGGGGAAAGAGGGACTCCTGTGGAGGAGTAGACAAGTGAAAATTGGGGACACTAGGCTAAAGGCCTAGGAAAAAAAGAGAGAGGGGAGGGGATCTGTGCGCCCCTAAAGGGCCCGGTAACCCGACGCACAGATAGGGCCTGAAATAGAAAAAACAAAAAACAAATAGGAAAAGAGTGGCTTATCAGATTCGCTTCCTCGAGGCAGACTTGGCGGAGATGACGTTGAAGACGAGGGCGGACGGCGACTCTTGACGGGAAGCCGGCTGCTCATCTGCTTGTATCCTTGAGTCTGCTTAGAGGGAAGAGAAGATCTGCTTAAGGAACATCTTTCCTATTCTGCTTGGGTGGAAACGTTTTTATGAATCTGGAATTTAGGAGGTAGGTGCAAAAGAAAAAACCTCCTGACCCCAGATCCATGTCTGCTTGAAAAGGGAAAAAATTTAGATTCTGGGTTGGTAAAATACGAAATACAAAAGTCTGCTTGGTTTTGGTATAACTACCAAGGCTGCTCAGTGTTGTCCGCGACCCTTCGATTTCGAAGGACGGGACGAACGAGAGCGGGAACCCTGGAAGTTACCGCGCCCACTCCGGCTTCGGCTTTCGCCTTGGCCGGCTGGCTCCGGGTCTGCGATGCGTCTCTGACGCTCAGCTTCAGCAACTGCAGACGCTGCCTGCAAGGGTTCGCCTCTCTGACATCGAAGGGATGTGCAGAGCGCGAAGTTCCTTGGCCCAGCAGCGTATGAGAAGACGAAGAGGACTGCGTAGACGATGTAGACGGATGGCTCTGGACTTGGGAAGTGGAAGCCTGGAGGCTAGTTCCGCTCATCTGTGGCTTAGCCGCGGTTTGAACGTTCTGAACTGCCTGGATGGTAGAAGCCATTCTGGGTTTCTTGTCGTCGTCGCACTTCCTCTGTGGGCTAGTGCTCGGGCGCTTCTGCTTGCCGAGGCCGAATTGGCGGGCCAGGTTCAAAGTCTGCATAAGCGCAGCTTGCTGACGCTGTTCGGCAGTGAACGCTACAATGCCGGGGCGAGCGACTGGGTTTCGCGCTTCTCTGCGACGAATATTCTCCGCATTTGTGGGCGGAGGGAGGCCTGCTTTGATGGCGTCAGCGAACATATCCTGCTTAATGCGAGGATAG